GCAGGCAAAAATGTATATTTATGAGGGGAAAACTGACCAACACTTTACACATGCTGAAGAGGTGTGTGTTAGTTAAGCTCAGGCAGGAATTAGTTTTCCGTGCAATTTCCTCTTCTAACTTTATGTTCGGCAAAGTTTGTTTGGTTTGTTTTGATGATTTGCAATTTCACCCCTATTTGCTTCCATAAATTACTTAGTGCACCTTAATATCTGGAATCCTCTCTTGTGGTTAACTCAAGTATATAAGTGGAATTAATGCAACATCAAGTGGCTGCAGTAAGCGCGTAATACGTTTTTTTACAGTCCATTTTAGCATTTAATTTCTGTCCTTGGCCAAGCTGACCATGCGCACTTGAATATGTTATGGTGCAGAACTCATGTCTTCAAAGCCTTGTATCTCTCACAGTTACGTTTACGGCTCTATCTTCCTGTTCCAATCACTCTCATTTTCTTTCTTCCATTAGACAAACCAAGTCTATTTAGAAGTGCGCCTCAATATGGCACCCTCGTCTCCGCTTTTGGTGTAATTCTGCCGTTGTGCTCAGTGCGAAAGCATCAATAGCAAAGCGGCTGCGTGGATGCAACTGTGTAAGAATCTCAGGAAGTGTCGACATGTGTAATTGTTTGGTCCAAATAGAACGCCACAAAGGCGTCGAAGGCAGCTGCTGATCATCATTGTTGTTGTCGTTTGGAAAAGATTGTTTTTTTTTAAATAGATTTTGCGAACGGTTTTGGTGTATACACAAGCTTTCCACTCGGACAGTTTGCCCATAAATATTTAAAGATGCATCAAGCTGATATTAGACCCTCAATGGTGGTGGATTTTACATCATTTTCTTCTTGTTTTACTCCTGGCTTTCCACATGCAAGATTCAAAACCAGGTTTGTCCTTAAGGATATTTTATGAACAGTAATATTCCATTAAAAGTACTTTTAACTCAATTTTTTTGGCTTGAAATCTAACTTTGTGGATTTGTCTATAAATGTTTCAGTATCTTGCCAGTTCGGCTTTGAAATGCTGTGCAGTATAATGTGAAAGATGTGGTTCAAAACACATGTTTGAGCAATACACTGGAACAAGGAAAATCTAGGTAAGCAAAAAAATAAAATATGTTGCTTATTTTTTAATGGTGAGTTTTATTGTTTTTTTGCTTGAATTTAGTTTGTCATGTAAGATTATGTTATTAGTTAAAGATAATAACAGGGGCTCGTGCTATGTGTACTGGGTGGCCACTCTGGCGGCACCCCCCCGACCCAGACATGGATTAAGGGGTAGAAAATGGACGGATGGAGATAATAACACTTCATACGCCAGACAACTTTTCTTGTTTAGATTAGAAAGGTATGTGATGCTATATTTTTAGATTTTCTTCAAAATATTTGATAAATAAGTGAATAATAATTAAAACATGTTTATATACAAGAATCCAGTCATTTGGAGCTAGAATTATCTTATTTTCAGAAATCTTGTCAAGTCATATTTTCTTGTTTTATTGACAGTTTTATTTTTTTTTTTTTAAACAGTATTTTATTTACTTCCGTATATTTTTTTCTTTTTTTTTCAAGGGATTTTTTATATTCAATATTCACATATTTTTGTATCATTGTTTTTTGAGTTTCTACCTCAGCTTTTAAGTCTTTCTCTGCTTTAATCCTATAGATATATAAAAAGATAACACACTTGAAAGCACTGCAGCTGGATTTACATAGAGATTCTCCACGCGCCTCGGGGTCCGGTCCCGTTTTGATCTCCTTCTCTTCACATATTTTATCGAGTCCATGAATCCCTTGATGATCGATGTCCAATACGGCCTCCCGCCACTTCTGTTCGCCCGTGCTCTTCCTACATCTTTGTTTCAATAATGTCTCACTTATAAGTCACTTCTCATTGACCCAGCACTAACTTCCTGACTCCCTGTTGAGTTCAAACAGACAGCCACATCCTTTCCATCTCCCAGCAGGATATATACACACCACGCATTAATTCACCCATGTCTCCCCAGACTTCAGTAGACCCCTTTTTTCTCCCTGTGCTCTTAAGGGACTCCAGGACTTAGGCGGAGGGGCCGCTCTGTTTACTTTGTACTCCCCGGTGGGATATTTCCATTTGAATAAATGTGTGCGTCGCAGCTGGGGCAGAATATCTCATCTTCAGACACGTAGCATAAGTTTTCCATGCAGAAAGAGTGCCAGGTGTACGCCGCGATGTGTGCATGAACATTTGTGAAGTTGCTACATGTTCAAATAGTCTAAGTAGTTTTCTTATCGAATAAACTTTTTAATAAAGGTTATTTTAATTGTAGTTGACATTGAATAATAATGTTTTGTGGGACAACAATACTGATGAGAGTAATTCACACACTCAGTTTTCAAGGTAAAACAGTTTCCATGTGTTATGTCTGTTAGGTATTACCACTTTATTTTATCTCCTGCTGACTACAGTTTACACTCCACTAGTGTACTATCATTGAACCCATTTTAGCTCCAGAGTTTTACTTTACTTTACTTTAGTATTTCATTTTATTATCCATTATCTAAAATAATAGATCCTGTTTGATGTGTGCCATCTGAGTATTTCCTCCTGTTTTATATTCTGCTGTAATGTATGCAACATTGACATTGAAATGTCATCACTGTGGGACAAATAGTATAGGTCTATCTTATCTTATTTTGTTCTAGAGTGACCTTGATATTTCAAAGTGGAAAGAAGTGAAAGGTCTAGTTGGACATCTTCTGTCTGTTTCAGCTTTGAAGTCCACTGTGTCCCTAAGACCCTATAACCTGTATTTTGTATTTGAAAAACTTTTAAAACCACATGACCAATTTTGGCTATACCTGCATGTGAAAGCCAGATACCTCTAAAGCTAAGCAGGCCAGGGCCTGGTTAGTGCTGTGATGGGAGACCTCTGGGAACACCAGGGGGGCTGTAAGGGCTATAAGGTGCCGAACTGTTGTTGTGTTCTGAGGCAAGACACTTTGTGAGTCCGGTGTGTGAATGAATGATTGGTGGTGGTCGGAGGGCCCGATGGCACATACTGGTTGCCTTGCTTCAGTCAGTTTGTCCCAGGGCAGCTGTGAATTCAATAGTAGGTTATCACCACCATGTATGCAGTGAAAGAATGATGACACGGGGCCAGAGCTCTGTGTTCTATCTTCTCTGTCAGGTGCACACTGGGTTAGTCTTGCACAGTTTCTCTAATGTGGTTTTTCTGCAAATGGCAAATCAATTCTTGTATATTATATGTTGTGTGTTGTATGTGAAGCGCTATATAAAACTGATGCATTATAAATATCATTAATTTATCAATGTAGCAGCGGGAGATTGTTTTGGATACATCAGTAAATATCCAATATAGACAGTAGCCCCCCGTCATTGATCATGAGTCAGGACATTACGCAATAAGACGTCGGTCAGTAACAATCAGCGAGAACGTCTCTTTAAATCCTGCCCCAACTATAAACTCATCTTTTAAAAAAAAACACAGCCCTGCTCTTCCACCTTGCCTGGAGCGCTGATGAGATGAAAAATGAATGGTCTCCCAAAGGAAAAGAAAGTCCATCTGTGAGCTGCGTTCAAGGACAACAGTGTTATCCATTTTGGAACAGTATGAAACAAGCCAGTGTGTGGAGAGGAGCTTTATTGGAACGGTGGGCTGGTAGATGAACTGTGGCTGCTACTGTTGTGTTGCCAGCCCCAACTGCGATGTGGCAGATTAGAGCAGGATCATTGACTCCTTGTTTGTAGCCGCACCACTCTTTTTCTCCAGCCGATAATGAACAAATGTGACGGATTGCTTTAGTGCGGCGTTGCGCTGGATTACGCCGGTGGCCGGAGCCCTGTTGCTCATATAAAAAGCACAGCGTAATGTTATGATTGTGAGTTATTTAGCCTTGAGAAAAGCAGTTGAGGCCACATTCATTCATCTGCGTTTGTGAGTCTGTAGTCTTTTCTATTCCTCCTCCCCATATCTTATCATTGATTCTTTTTACCTTAGTTGACAGTCCTGGCATTTGGGATCATTTTAGCAGTTATGTCTCTCACAGATGTTATCATGCAAGTCGTAACGTTGTATAGCTTGTAAAATAGAATAAAAAAGTAATTATTTTTACGCTAGTGGAGTCTGGAAAGTTCGGTGCCTTTGGGTGTTACTTGTAAAGCAGCAACACAAGTAAGAACCAAACACTTTTTCAAAAATGTTCCCTTAAACATGATACAATTTCTGATGAATGGAGTTGTAGTTTTATAACTTGCACCTTTGTAAACATAGACAGTAAATATTCAGACATTATTTAATCATATATTTGAAATAATGTATAATAAATCATAAATAATAAAACATAATTTGTATGAGGAAAAACTTAGAGCGTGTTCAAAATTCAGTATTTTATCCCAAATTGGTTCACTAAATGTGTGAAAGTAACCTGAAAGTGGCTAAACTGTCAGGCTACTTCTGTCCTTTCAGAAGCACCATGACTCAGAAGATGACAAAAAAAAAACTAAAATAAAATTGAAAAATTACATTTATTCTGCCCTTAATTGAGCAAGTTCTGCCTTCATCTGCAATGAAAGTCTAGTTGTAGAGGACAAACAGGTATATAGTAGGTCATACACTTTCCCACAGTTCTTATCATGAAAGACAATAAGTAAATTATAGTAAATAATATTAAACATCAGTGTGTCACATTTTCAAGAAGATTGTAGCAGGTTTTAGTTGCATGGATCTGAATTGTTGACTGCCCATATTTAGTCCTGACTCTGGGCACCAGCAGAGTCCCAGATGGTTCAAATGGGACTAATGTTGCAGAGGTACTTTGGCACTATATTTATGGAGAGGCACAAAGTCTATTCCCTGAGCCACGGGAAGCCAGTGCAGAGACCTATCTCACATGTAGCAAGTTTAGTGTAAGTAGCTTTCACTAAACTTGGACATAATTATTCTACAAACCTATCCCTCAATGTCTGTACTTTCTCCTTTCCACAGAACCAGTTCCACCTGCAGATGTCGGCCCGCGTGCCCCCTTCCACTCTTGGCAGTCTGCTGTTGGCCGTGCTGCAGGGGGGGGAGGAGGAGAGGGACCGGAGCGGCTGGGGGGGGGCTGCCGTGGTCTGTCCGGGCTGGGAGGAGGGCGGAGAGGGCGTCCTGTCCCACCTCCAGATGCACAGCGGCACCAACTGGAACCTGTGGGACATCATCGACCTCACCCACATCACGGGGGACGGGGAGAGGCACGGCGAGGCCAGCGAGGAGACCCGGGAGGACCAGAGGGAGGAGGAAGCACTCAGGATACTTTCAAGTCGCTTCCTCCGCTCCCAGTCTCCCATCTCGTCTGTCCTGCTGCTGGGATCGGATCCTGAGTGTCTGTCGTCTGTTTTACGCGCCGCCCAACGCCTTTCGCCCACTCTGCCCGCGCTGCAATGGATCATGGGATACCCGATGTCTCCAGATGCTCTCCACACTTTGGGCGGACCGCTCGGGCTCCTGGCTTATGGAGAAGTGGGACGTAAGCCTTTGAGTTTCTACATAAGGGACGCGTTGCACTTGGTGAGTCGGGCTGTTACCGCGGCGGCGCTGGTAAGGCCGGACCTGGCGCTGGTGCAGAGTATGGTGAGCTGCTACGACAAGCTGAGCCGGCCGGACCGACCCTCTTCAGGACCTTATTTGGCCAGGTATACACACCAGCGGCTTGATGGGTAGATGTAGTATTCAGTGTTGCAAATCACACAAAGATATCACGAGTATCACATTGTTGACAATCTCTTATTTGAAAGTACATACACATTTTTTCACTGATATTCTTACCATGAAAAAAACAAAAAGTCCAAGTATGACGCACTGTGTATTTCTCATCCAAATATTTGTATGTACTCATTCTACTTATTTACAATCACAACGATTTATAAATGCTACATAAATGTGGACGAATTACATTATGAGCTGGAAGGATAGATCTAACATTTACTCAAATAGTTGTTGTATTCACCGTGAATATTTTATTGTTCCTGAACCTGTGTGCAGAGCCTTAAAACCCTTAAACCCTGCCAATAGTTGAGATTAAATGGTGGGGTGGAACCTTGAGGATCTGTTGTTTATTGGTTTGGTGATTTTTCTTTATTTTATTTTGTTGTAAAAGTGGGGAAGTAATCTAAATTAATTATTATGTATTTAGCCATTACTACCAGTAGTTTATTTGCATACACTAGATTACAAATATGGTTAATCCCTGTTAATTGGAATGTGCTATTTTTGGAACACCATTTTACCACTGCAGTGTAATTAAACAATATTGATAGAGTTTATATTGAACTTACAAGACCTACACATCGCTGAAAGTACAGTTCTCCTCATAATGACTTTATTTCATCCAAACTTTTTACTACCTCTGGCCATTGAGCACAATGTTTACCCAATGTCCCAAATGACTGCACTAAAAAGTGCAATTAAAGTGGCCGTCCCGCTCTCTCCAAAGCCTGTTAGCGCTGGCTCTGGCTCACGATGGCAGATTTTTGGGACATTTTTAGTAAAAGTGGCTGGAGCTGCCCTTGCTTGTCCTCTCAGTCGGGTTGCTCCTTCCCTGTCGCGCTGAAGGAGAGGAGGAGGTCTTTATGACAAACGGATACAAGAGCGCCCCAGAGTTTAGCCTGGCTTACTATCACAACACCTTCATCATCAAAGAAGCACAGAGTACACATGAATGAATGGAGTTTGTTTATTTTAAGGGACAGAGTGTAGTTACATTAAAAATAGGGCAACATCCAATTTAGCATCATTCTATTTTCCATCTATATAGTCCTTGCCACGACGCCAATGTGGCCAGTGTGAGCCAAGCCTATTTATGTAGCTGCTAATGTCTTGTAAGGACAACAAATGCAAGATGTTTACAGAAATTGTTGGGTAGATGTGAAAGACATTAGAGGACTAAAACAAAAATTGGCAAAATAGGCCCTAGAGAGACCTGACCTTCCGGCAAAATCCTCCTGACAAAAAAAAATCAATTATAGACAAAAAGAAATGGGTCATTTGACTTCTCCACTTTTGCACCTGGCCCTATGTTGCCAAAGTAATTTTTGCATATTTGTGTATGTCACCATTATCAGCGACAGTAGCTCAGTTGGTACAGCATTGGCCTTTGAGCCAGAGGGTCATGGGTTCGAGCCGACTTTCACCATCAACACCCACTGTCTGCTGTCGTTGTGTCCTTGGCAAGACACTTAACCTCTGGGAACACCAGCCACAGTGGGGCGGCTGCGGCTGTAAAGTGCCAAACTGCTGTTGTGTCCTTAGGCGAGACACTTTACCCCCATTGCCTAGAATGAGTCTGGTGTGTGTGTGAATGATTGGTGGTGGTCGGAGGGGCCGATGGCACATACTGGTTGCCTCGCTTATGTCAGTGTGCCCCAGGGCAGCTGTGGCTGCAGTAGTATTTTATCACCACTGTGTTTGGAGTGAAAGAATAATGACATGTAAAGCGTCTTTGAGTGTCCAAAAAAGCGGTATATAAAACCAATGCATTATTTATTATTATTATTATTATTATTATTATCCCTACAGAGCAGTTGGCCTGGTCCTTATTTGAAACTTCAGTATAACGCAATACCAAATGTTTAACATAATGTGATTTTTTTGTATTATTAAATTTTTAAACAGTAAGTAATTTAGTAAGTAATTTTTATTTATATACCGCCTTTTCACTGCACATCGGAGTCTCAAAGCGGTTTACAATTGTGATTGGGAATAAAAATAGATATCTTTATATATATATTTGTCATGTTGGTGCAACTAAAGTATGTGTTAAGTAATACATGTAGCAGAACTTGTATAAATCCTTTAACAGATCGACGCCTTCTTAAACTAATCGCCTAAGTGACATTTTGCCAAAAATATTTTTTTTTGCCTAAATCAGCTCCTCTTGACGCTTGGCACCTTTGGTAAAAACGCCTAAGGCCTCTGTTGAGGAGATCATGCTTTAAAACCCTGTTGTTACTTAGGCCGTAATGTAAACCATGACAAGAGCGTGACTTAGGCAAAATAATTCGGCCTAAGTCCAAAGTCAATGTGACTTAGGCAATTTTACAAACTGTCAAAATCAAAATGGAGACTGCTTCAAGACAAATGTTCTCAGTCACTGAAGTGATTTCCATGATTCATGGCTCATCTCCTGTTGGTAAGTGATTATGATGACTACATTATAGGCTAGGCTTTAAATATTGCAAATATTTAGTAATTTAATTTCAATTTAAAGTCAGAATTGTTGATAGTAAAGTAGCTGTACAAGCTAGCAGTTAGCAAGCATCTGGAATAGTCCAGAACTGTGGAGGACATTGAGTTCCACGTTAAGTGATGTTAAGCATTAAGTAAATTAGTTTAGTAAAAGACTTTTGAAAAGTGAATTTACTAAAGAATGACTTTATGTATTCACAAATAATTTTGTAAAAACATGTTGTAATCTGTATTAGCTCCTCTGATGAGCATCTGCTGTTCACGTCTCCTTGTAAACCAAGGGTGGGCTATTATTTCATCCAGGGCCGATCCTGAGAAAACAGTATCTTGGAGTTTTCAGATGGTTACCACTTAATTTCATTTGGGAAAAAAACTCTTGCAAAATTATGTATTTTAATAACATAGAGAAAGTTACATCAATTATAAACAAAATATTTAATGACAAGAATGAGAAAGACTTATAGATGCATGCCATTTTTTTGAGATTTCTTTTACTTTTTGGCAGGAGATGCACTTGACAACGCTATCACTGATCAGGCCTCATACACTGAAATTGATTAGGCTGTTGTTGAAGAGATGGAGCAACATGTTACAGATGAAGATTCTGTTTATGACAGCGAAGACATAAGTGACGATGATGATTGTGGTGATAATGTCGTCACTGATCCAGACTATAACCCAACTTTTGATGAGTGTTCTGCAACTGAACATGAAGACATCCTAACCATGGTTTCAGCAACTCTTGAACAGCAGGATAAGAAGGAAGATTTAGGAAATCCGAGCAAAAAGAAACGAAATAAACGCCTCAGTCCGGGGAATTGGAAGCAAAATGAAAGCAAGGAAAAACATCTTAAAGGAATCTCATACAAGAGCAAAGGTGGAACTGAGAAAAGTGCAAAGACTATGGGTCCTCCCTGCAACTCCAAGTTCTGTCAGCGTACATCTACTCGTGAATGCCAAAGTATCACAGAAGAGCAGAGGCAGTGGATATTTCAGAAGATATGGGCGATGGAGTCCTGGAAAGAACGTCAGTTATATATAACCACTTTAGTCAAAAAGGTTGACATCAAGCGAAAGAAAGTTGTTGAGGCATCCCGACGAAAGCGCTCACTGTCCTTTCAACTGAAGCCACAAGATGGAACGAGTCTCAAAGTGTGCAAATCACTTTTTTCCTCTACACTTGGTGTCCCAGAAAGAACCATTACAGAATGGCTTAACAAAGAAACAATTGACAATGATGAAGAAATGGAAGCGCAGCCATCTAAATATGGACCTAAGAGTGGCAAGCATTCAAAAATTAAAACAGACGACGTGGATTTCCTTTCCAAGTGGTTGAGGGACCTGCCCACTGTCCCTTCACACTACTGCAGAAGCACAAACACCTACAAAGATAAGAAGTTCCTTCACCCAGGCACAACCATATCCCAACTACATCGGGAATATGAAGAAATGCAGCTGCTGGAGTAAGAAGCATTGGATTAGGGTATTTTAGTAATGTGTTCCACAAAGAGAACTATTCTGTATTCATTTCACGGAAAGACCAGTGTGATGTTTGTGTTTCATTCAAGCACAATAACATAAGCCAGGCTGAATATGATGCACATATCATTAAGAAAGATGAAGCAAGGCAAGAGAAGTCCAGAGACAAGGAGTCTGCAAATAATGAGAAGTCAGTTTGGTCAATGGATATGCAAGCTGTGCTGCTGTGTCCAAGAACCCAAGCGAGCAGCCTGTATTACAAAACAAAACTGCAGGTCCATAACTTTACCCTCTTCAACATGAGATCAAAGGAAGGGTACTGCTACCTCTGGGATGAAACAGAGGCTGACCTTAGTAGCGAGGTATTTGCCTACATCCAATACTCCCATTTTGAAGGTGTGATCCAAGACCATCCAGAACTTAAGGAGATAATAATATGGAGTGATGGTTGTGGTTATCAGAACCGCAATACATGTGTGTCAAATGCATTATCTGAGCTTGCAAGGAAACATGGGGTATTAATAACACAAAAATACCTTGTTGCCGGGCACACACAGATGGAGTGCGATAGCATGCATAGTACGATTGAACGCAAAATCGTCACAGATATCTTCACCCCGAGAGACTATGTTGTGATACTTCAGACTGCAAGAATCAAGCCATCACCATACCATGTCAAGGTTCTCAAGCATTATGCATTCCTGAAAATGAATGGATCTTACTTCAATAGTATCAGACCAGGCAAAAAAGCTGGTGATCCAACTGTGCATGACTTGCGGGCTCTTCAGTTTGGCAGTGAAGGTACGGTGCATTTCAAACTGTCCTTCTCAGAGGACTCTGTGTGGGAAGCACTGCCACAGAGGATGCAGGTACAAAATGTGCCAATGTCATGGATTAGAATGTTTCCAAGTGCTCTGCCAATCAAGGAGAGAAAGTTCCAAGACCTACAGTCAATGAAACACGTGATGTC